AGTATGACAGAAAGGAGAGGGACATAAAAAAGTAATAACACCAAGTAAAAAGTTATCGCTCTTCCACTAAGAATGCTTCAGACACAGAAAATAGTAGCTTGGCTTTTTCTCAGAGCAAGTGCCAAGTCATAGCTGATTCTTAGAGAAGTTGCAAGGCTAGTCTACTCAAAGAAAGAAAGTTACACTAAAGTAAGACTCAATAGGGGTACATGGAGAAAATATAATACAGAATTTGAATGATCTGTTTATCTCACTTTTTACAGGTAAGTTGAGAGTGACAATTCTTTGGGTTGCCTTGGGCAGGGGTTCTAAAACAGTCAAGCATCTTCACATTGTGTGGCCATGAGTAAGATAATTTACTAACATGGCTGATTGAATGTAGTGAACAAGATTGCTTTTTCATAATTATTAAATTATTATGTCCCACCTTGCTCCCTCAAATATACCAGATAGGACTATGGGGAGAATTTGGGAGCACATAGCACTATGAGCTGGGTATCCCCAAAGGATATGAGTTCTGGGATGGTAGTGTAGCCATGTATCATGGATGGCTGTCTTTTGACATTGCAGAAGGGGTGCTTGTGGAAGCCTCATGGCACACCCACACTGTATTGAATGTAACTAGAATATGCCCAAATGATAATGATAGGGAGCATACAATTGTTTTGCGTTCTCAAGTATGAACCTTCACACAAGCAAAAACAAAAACAAAAAATTCTCAAGAAAGAAAACATACAATAAAAATGACTATAGGGGGAACCAGCAGTTAGCGTAATGGCTATGTCGCTGGACTCCCACATAGTCGACCACAGTTCGCGTCCCGGACCCGGTGGCTTAAAACTCACGCCGGGTGCGTGTGCGTGCATGCCCAAGATCTCAAGAGGAGAATGGAGGAGAGGGGATTGTGGCATGACCATCCCCCCGGGGGATGATTTCTCACTTTCTGTCTCTATGTCTCTCTCTGTTTGTCTGGCGAGTGCACGCACCCTATAGCGAAAATCTCTCCAAAAAACAAACAAACAAAAACAAAAAACAAAAAAAATGACTATAGGGATGGAGGAGGACTCACATGACATGAAGACCTGCTATCATAAGGTAAATAGAATGTAGGATAAGGATCTATCTCCTATTTAGAAGACAGCACAAGAAGCAATATCCTTAGAAGTATGCACAGAGAAATAATAATAACATCAACAATAAAAATTTATTTAATGTATATGTAACAAAAGGCACTGTACAAAAGTTTTAATGACTGGTTTCTTTGCTCTTAAAAACAATGAGAAATACGATAAATATCACCATTTTCAGGATAATGAAAACAAGACTTCATAAGTTTAGCCAAAGTTCATAAAATCCAAGTATACAAATTTAGCCAAATGGTTTATCTGAGAATCCAACTCAGATTATCCAGGCTATCTCAGTCCTAGTGGCCTTCACTATATAAAAATTTCTTTAGAACTAGAGAAAAATAAACCTCTCTGTTAGGCACTACAAGAACAATAATATTGATTATGCAAGATTTGACCATCATTTCCAAATAGTTTTCAAAGAAAGAGAGAAATAAGAGATGCACTTAGGGCCAGCAAGTGGAGTGGTGGTTAAGACTCCCACGTGGTCAACCATGGTCCAACTCTCTGACTTGGCTGTTTGCTTTCTCACTTTCTCTCATTCTCTCTCTCTCTCTCTCTCTCTTTCTGGTGTGTACATGTGCCCTATAGTAAAAACTTTAAAAATAATAATAATAATAAATTAAATTACTCTCAAAAAAAAAAAGAAAGAAAAAGAGACCTTCACTTATAAAATGTTCCATCTTGTTCAATTCATTTTTATTTTAAATTTCTTTATAAAGGAACAGTAAAAGTAACCATACAGAATTTAAAAGATAAATAAAATATTTTCTCAACCTAAAAGAAGGTTATAACAGTATCAGAGAAATACATATAGCTACTCATGATGTGTGAGTAACAATTTAATTTGAAAGGACAAAGAAAGGAAACCTCCTATAGAAGGTAGCCTGGTAGGAAAAAATTGGGTGTGCTAACTCTTGATTCTAATAAAAGAAGGATCATGGAGAAAGTGTCAAATGATTAGAAACAGCAAATCGAATATTGCAAATATTCCAGAAGTAGTGAGTAGTTTGTCATGACTGCAGAGGAAGAAAAAATTTGAGACAAATATAAAATATGTTAATGCCAGAACATAGAAGGTTTGCCATTTTAAAATGCTGTCGAATATAACATTTTTTTTTTTTGGAATACTGTAGAAATGTAAAATTGTGATACAAATCACTCAGCAAAGATAAGCTTCAATACAAAAGAAAGTGGAAGGGACCAATGGAGAAAGTTGGCAAATGATGTTTGGAAAATTATGGACTCGAAATCATAATTTTCATCCTCAGAAGAGACAGATTAGTACTGTAAAATGGTCCTTGGAGATACTGGGCTCACGTGTGGTATTATCATGAAAGCGATTGCAAAACAGTGAGACACACATTTCTTTAAAAAATAGCAAACCATCGAGCTTTCAGGTCTGGAAAACTGGGCGACTTTAACCAAGCACATCTCAGGATGGAACCCAAGACAAACAGGGCAATGAGGGAATGCATACTCCTATTCATTTGTGCCTAGGATGGGCAGATCGGGATGGAATAGGGATGATGCCTGAAATTTGATCGAAATTTCTATGTTCCTTATAGTTATATGAAATGAGATAAAATGAAGATCATAAAGACACGAAGTTGTAGATAATAACAAAATATTTAACACTTCAAACACTACAACTATTACCCAACTAGAAAAAAACAAATATCAAAATAAATAAATAAATCGTCATCAACCTTTAGCAACAAAAATCTGAACAAAACAAATCTTCATTAAAATAAATAGGAGATGCTGCACTCAAAGTGGTGACTCAGACTAAATTTTTCTAGATTCGAGAAGATCTGAGGAGCCAATGAATGGCACATTTGCCGTGAATGCCAGAGAGAGTCAGGGATGTCCTGGGCAGAGCGCTTGACCCCAAGAGCCAAAGTTCTGGGGTCAACATATACATAAGCCCAACATTCCCTTCATGACGGAAAAAGTAGGAAGGACTCTGCCAGGCTGAAGGAGGGACAGGAAAGAGACCTGGGACCTTCGTAAATCAGTAGACAGGCAAATCTTTTTAAGGGCATTAAGTTTCCTTTGCAGTGGTCAATCAACCACTTCTACTCTATTGCAGACCCATTTGGCTAAGGGTTGGCAATACTTTCAGTCATGGGCTAACTGAGGGGAAATCCAGGTAATTGCAGAATCCAGGGAAGGGATGTCTCCTTTGAAGCAGCAAGAAACAAAGATTCACAAATGAGTGTTTTCATAGTTGCCTAAGATACTGATAAAAAGCAGGTTTTTGATTCATTCCAATATTAAAAAGCAATCAAGGGAAAATAATTCAATGGACCAAGAATTGGAAAATTATCTGTTGATGCCAATGTGTATAGTAATTTCTGGAAATTTTCATTTTCAATTTTATAAAGATATACAGTGGAATGTAAAGATATATAGTAAATGGAAAAAATGAGAAAAAATAAAATAAGATTAAAAAAAATTTAAGTGAAGTTTTCCTTCCAACATACAAATTTTCTATTTCTTTTTTTTTTTTAACAATTTCATAGGTGAATCAAGATTAAAAAAATTTTAAGTGAGGTTTTCCTTCCAACATACAAATTTTATATTTCTTTTTTTTTAACAATTTCATAGGTGAATCTGATTCTTTTTACCTCTTAGAGCCTCCTCAGTAGGTTCTGGATTCCCTGCTTGATCTCCTTGGTCCTCACACCATAAACAATGGGGTTCAGAGCTGGGGGTATGAGGTGGTGCAGGATGTTGAGCAGGATGGGGACATCTGGGGGAATTTTCTTCCTGGCCAGGTTAGTGATGACCAGAACCAGAAGGACCGTGCTGAAGAAGAGGATGAGGATGAAGTGGGAACCACATGTGCTCAGGGCCTTGGCCGCAGCACCCTCTGCTTTAATCCTTAGCACAACTTTCAAAATAAAGGAGTAGGAGACAACAATAAGGATGAGGTCAGAGCCCAACAGGGTCCAGCCTGCTACAAACTGGTAAAGTCGATTGAAAGTGATATCATCACAAGAGAGTTTGGAGACAGAAAGGTTCGTGCAGATGCAGTTCTTGATGATGTTTCCTGCACAGTATTTGAGTCTGGCGGAAAGGACTGGAACAGGAAGAGAAAAGAGGGCATTTCGGGCTATGACAAAGATGGCAGCACTAACCACAAACTGATCAGTGATGATGGAGGGATACCGCAGAGGATGGCAAATGGCCACATAGCGGTCGTAGGCCATAACCATGAATGTGCAGGACTCCATAGTCAGGAAGCTGTTCATGACAAACATCTGGAGGAAGCAAGCAGAGAAGCTGATGGACCTGAGATCAAACCAGAAGATGGCCAGGACCTTAGGGATGACAGTTAGGCAGAGAACAATGTCCAGCAGGGAGAGAAGACTCAGAAGGTAGTACATGGGCTCGTGTAGAGCAGCCTCCAGCCGGATGGTGATTAGGAGGATGGCGTTGGCCCCCATGGCCAGGAGGAGGAGGAGGCTGAGGGGCAAGGACAGCCAGTGCTGCCAGCTCTGGAAGTTAGGGAAGCAGATGAGGAGGAATTCGGAGACCGGGGCTGTGGAGTCGTTGCTGGGTGCTGCCATGAGAAGGATCCTGGTCAAGCTGAAAGTCCAGAGTACCTTAAAATGCAGGAAAGAAGCATATCAGCACAGAAAGCCTGTGTTCTAGATATAGAAGAACTTGGGTTTCTGAGACCCTTAAGCTGAAGTTTCTAAATCACTATGATTATCTCATCATTATCATCACGGGTGTTTAACTGAGCCAGTATCCTGTACCAGTGCTTTTTATTTACCTCATTTTATCCTTCTATAAAATACTGTAGACTAATTTGCATCATTATGTTATTTTTATTGATAGTGAAGGAGACACAAAGGGAAGCAGTTTTGTCGAGATTAGGAAGCCAGTAAGTGGTGAAGCCAGGACCATGAACTAGAGTCTAACTAGAGTCTGATTCTTTTTTTTCTTTTTTCTTTTTTTATCTTTCTTTTTTTTTTTTTTTTTGTCGAAGACTCTTTATTTTCATTCTTCAGGAGATACTGGATTGGAGGTAGAATAGCTCTTGACCCTACCCAAGAGCAGTAATTTCTTCTTGCCTGAAAGAAAATATCACCTTTAAGGCATAATGACATTCATTCCATTACTGAATTATATGTGTTGTTTTTCTTTGTGAAGATTCAAGTGTTTTCTTTGGTTTGGTTCCTATGGGAAGGATTGTAACTGCCCTGTCCTGGTGGCAGACAGTTAGGACTGAGGAGTACACCAGGATACGTGAAACTGCATGTGTTATAACATGTTTCCACATAATGAGCAGGATCTCCGAGGAGAGGAGGAGCCTTTCTGTTCTTCCAAAGGAGGAACTCATTTTGAAACTTACAAGACAGGAGAAATGCTCTGTTAGCCTCAGTACAAACTTGAAAGAGGACTGGAGACTGCAGGAATATCAAGGATCTAAGACCACCATTAAATATCTAGAGGATTGCACAGCATGGCTGTCTTCAGTTCACCAATGTGATTTCTTGACTTGTGCTGCTCTAGAGGAACCTTGGGGCTCCTTGCCATGACCAGCCTATGAGCTAATCAGTCACAAGGATATTATCCCAAAACAAACCACTCTTATCTTATTGAGCAAGGTACTGTTAGTGCTTTCTTTTTCTCCCCTGAGGAAGTGTAGCCACAGTTTGCCACCAAAAAGACAGTAGGTCAGGGGTGTTCCTGGTCCTCTCTAGAGGCTGTTTCCTGATCTGTTCTGTGAATTGTTCTATATCTTTGAAACTGCAGCAAGCTCATGCCCACCTCTTAGATAACAATCCCCTTCTTTATAGCAAGAGCCTTTTCTTCACTATAAGTATGAAGAAAAGGATTAAAGAGCCATTTCAAAATCAAAATCAAGTCTAATTCCACACCCTTGAGGTTAAGGAAGTCAGATCCCATATGGTCGACTGTGGTTTGAGTCCCGGCCCTGGCAGTTTGAGAGATGCACAGGGCACATGTGCCTGCACCCCTGAAGTCCCAATGGGATGGAGAAATGAAGGAGAAAGGATTGCAGTGTGACTAGTCCCATTCAGAGGTGCTTTATTCCTCTCCATCTCTCCCTCTTTCTGTCTCTCTCTGGCAAGCACACACACTCTCTGGCAGTTAAAAAAAAAGAAGAAGAAAAAAAGAAAAGAAAAGAGAAAAAATAACAGAGATGAAATCAAAATCATTAAGAATGACATAAGTGGAATGAATAAATAAAGGTATTTAGAATTTGTTATATAAGCATTGCCCAAGCATGCTATTGGGCAAGATGACTGGAACAAACAGAAAAAAAAAAAAAATGCATACAGTAAGGTCTTGAACATCAAGCCACAGTGATAAAGATGACTTTATATTTTTGAGTTTATGTGACAGAAATAATGAAACCTTTAGTGAGAGGAGGGGATGGGGAAAATGAGAGAGTTTTAAGAATAAGAAAATCAATTTATATTTTAACTTTTATGAGGAAATATTTGCGAAATTATCAGGTGGGGTTTTTCAACAGTCATTCAGAGTATAAAATGCCCAAAGCTCAGGAGAAAATTCAAGTCTGTCAGTTAAGAAGTGTGTCTTGTTCTTCGAAGGAAAAAAATAGGATAAAAGATATAGCATGTAAAATAATTAAAGAAAAACCAAAACATGCTTTAAAGTCTAAAGTTTAAGCTAAGAATTTGTAAGTATTGTTGGTCTGACTGATTTAGGAGGGGGAATAAGTACTTGATAGAATAAAGTTCTATTTCTTTCCATTCCTCTTGTTACAAAAGAAAATTCTAGATTGAAAGTCAGGAGTGAGTACTATCCATTTGGCAAAAACTGAGGGCCTCAAGTTAGGTACGATAAAAATATGAGTTTGCTCCCTCATAGGAAAACTCAGTGGCCATGTTGGGCACTCCGCGACAGCATCATTTTCAACTTGCAGGATGAGAGCAAGTAACCATTTGTCTGGAGAAGAAATGGCTTTTCCTCTGAGGTAGAAGGGAATTACCTGCTGTTAGGAACATGTGTGAGGTGAGAGAAAAGTTCTTTATGTTCTGCTTTGCACACAATGTAGTTACTTTCCAGGTTGACTACTCTGGAAATCTGAACATCTTCTCCTTTTGTTTTGCCTCATAACAGGGATCATCAGTCTTGCTAGTAGTAATAAGTCAGCTGGTGTTTTTATGCAGCACCCTGGAAATAAGTCCTTTCTATTCCTTTTGAACAATGGCCCAGAGTCATAATTTTTCTATTTTATGCTATCCCCTTCCCACATATAACATGTTTTATCTTAGAAATCTTCCAATAATTTGGCTTTTCATACTCAGGGTTGAAATACATATTTGTACAACAAAAATATTTGACATGCCCCGGCTTAAGTGTCCAATAGAAGACACCATTAGAAGCTCGGGGACAAACCTCCACTCTTCTTCCTTGCTATCTACTTTGAGGCAATGAAATTGTTTTGTTAATATAAATTTACAACTTAGCAAAGAATTCCTAAAAGAGATAGGGCCTCTTCAAAACCCTAAGGAAAATAATTCTCTCCCAAGAAACATCTTTGAGGGCTAGGATTAGGAATCTTCAGAAAAAGTATTCAGAGTAGTTGAGGTTCACCAAAGGTAACATAGAAGCTAGTCAGTGACAGAGTTTTTTCCACACAGGAACCCATTTACCTAGTAACTAAAATCATCTACGTCTCCTTCTAGCCAGAATCTTACTCTAGCTTATGAAATCTACGTTCTATAAAGCCAAAAAGGAGGGAAAGGGGTAGGGAGTCAGAGGATGACAGAGGGAGCCCCAGAGTATATCATCAGTCTTACATGGAATGGCTGAACCTGCCCTCCTGTTCCATTTGACAAGCCTAATATAGGAGGGATCAAGTGTGTTTGAAATGGTATCAGACTTGAGCTATCAGAGAAAAAAGCAAAGGTATTTATTAGTCTTAAGGATTTGCACTTTGATTATTCTAGACCTTCTAAACACAGATAATACAGTACACACTAGAGTAAAACAAACATTTTCCACCCATTGGAGGGCTTTTAGGACAAAGCAAGGACTTAGGAGTTAAAACTGAAATAGGGAGGCCGGCCAGTGGTACAGTGGTAAAACTCAGTATTCTGCAAGGCAATCCCACATGGGAACATTACTGGTTCAGGTCAAGAGACCTCTCTAAATATACCAAGCAAACATATGCCCATGATCCTGAGCTGGCTGAGACGGGGTGGATTGGGACCCTATTGGGCTGCTCTTTCTCTTTCTCTCTCACTCTACTAGAGAAGAAAAACTATGTATCAGTTTTGTTCTTTATTCTCATATGTGACTAGGAAAATGACTCACTATGTGAATCTAAGACAAGAATGATTAAAAACACACCTTTTCAGGACCAGCAGTTGGTGTAATGGCTATGTGGCTGGACTCTCATGTAGAGTCCTGGACCCGGTGGCTTAAACTCCGGGCGTGTATGCCAGGCGTGTATGCATGTGTGCCCAAGATCCTGAGAAGAGAATGGAGGAGAAGGGATTGCGGTGTGGCCATCCCCCCTGAAGAGTGATTTCTCACTTTCTATCTCTCTTTCTCTCTCTTTCTTTCTGGTGAGCGCATGCACCCTATAGCAAAAACCTATCCAAAAAAATAAATAAATAAGAGAGAGAGAGAGAAAGAAAAAGAAAAAAACATACCTTTTCTAAAAAGACTGTTTTCCTTTCCAATAATCTGAAATATGGCTTCTCAGAGTGACTTGATCCATTTAAACAAGTGAGAAAATAACGTTTTCTCAGCACCTGGACTTAAGGCATACTAGTATATAACAGGGATGAAGCAAAAACCTCCATCTTCTGAGAGCTTACTTAATTGAAGACATTTTCTTCCAGACACTTATAATACAGTATGTGTAGCTGTGGCTTTAATAATGGCAATCATGAAACAGTGGAAAAGAAACAAAATTACAGAGAATGAAGCAAGGTGACAGCCTTGGTTTAAAAGTTGGCCTCAGAAAGAAATCAATTCCATTTCTCTTATATTGTGTGCTCTTGAAAGTTACTTAAATTCTATGGTGCCCCAGTTTTTCCATTTATGCAATAGAATAAAAGATACTTAACTCTAAATATCATTGTGAAGTTCTTCTAGGTCTAGAGACATGATGACAAGCTAAGACTATCATGTTGTAAACACACAAAAGAGAGATGACATTCCCCTGTGGAGAATGAAGACTTTTCTTGTTTAGGCAAAGGTAAGGGCAGAAAGACCTGCCTAGGTAAAAGTTAACTAATGATTAATAAGGAGGTATTTGAGGCTGGTAGGTCGATCCTAGGTTTTGAAGGGAGAGGAGGTAGAAGAGGAGAGTATCAGGAGATAAGGTTTATAGGTAATCAGTGGCAGCCTTGCGAGGTTCCATAGAGGTCTGTATGAGAGTAGGCATCATCCTGTGTACTGTAGGGAATCACAGAGTATGTGAAAAAGGGAGGTTAAATGTTTTAAATGGTTTCTTAGTCCACCTGGGCTGCTATAACAAAATACCATAAACTAGGTGGCTTATCAGCAGCAAACATTTATATCTCACAGTTCTGAGCACCAGTATATGTCCCTGTCA